TTTTAATGTCTGCTTGAGGTAGTTGTGTTCATTGTTCTCTCAGAAGCTCTTTTAATTGAAACTTATTGTAGATATTGCCCATATGTGGAGTAATTCTTCGTTGCGGCATGTCCCATACATGCACAATGGGATTCAAGGCCGGTGATTGTGCTGGCTACGGCAATACATCAATACCCTCGTGATCCAATCAGTTTGTTACAATATGCGCAACATCTGGTCGAGCGTTATCATGCATAAAGTAAATTTCTCCAATAGCAGCAGCAAACGGGCGTACAACAATTTCAAGAATAGTGTCCAAATATTGCTGACTTGTGAGAAAGCCACGTGGGAAAATGAGGTCAGTTCTTCTGTTAATCAGGATTCCGCGCCCCATACCATTAATGTACCACCTCTGTATGCAAACACTTCTTGAAGATGTAATCGTTCTCCATTTCCGGGTCGTCTCCAAACTCTTGTCCGACGAGAATCTTACACCAGGTTAATCAAACAGCGCGATTGCCTCTAGAAGAGGTGGACATATCAGTGGTCGCCGACTACGAAGATTGGCTTCATGGAGACGATTCATAACAGTACTGCTGCTAATTGTTTCATGAAGTGCAAGCTGTAATTCATTAACCAGTTCGGGTGCTGTTAATTGTCTGCCTTCTGGCATTTAAAATTAAATATCGGTCTTGAGCGACGCGTCCCGACGGTTTGTAGAACGATCACGTCCTGGATGTTGCTCAGCTGAACTCCCAGTATCTCTAAACCGACGCCAACAAACGACTACGATGCTTTGGGAGACACCCACTGGTCAGCAACTTGAGTTTGTCGCATACCAGCTTGAAGGAGGCCCACGGCTTCTATTCATCTCATCCAACATTAAATGTTGTCGATGCACCGGTAAAAAGACAATATCTTTAAACTTACCTATTAAGCAAGAATGCTATAAAGTGACTAAAATTAAAAATAAACAAAACATAAAAATGTCGATTTTTTTTGTCTCTTATAAAAAACATTCTAAAACACGTATTGCTATCAGTTTTACAATTTTTTTTTGATAAGAAGTGAGTGTCTGTATTAACAAATTATAGTATAAGCAAATTTATATGGTTATGAAATTTCTGTCATTGGTATTATCAAATTATTAAAATATTCTTAGACTTTTGCGTTTTGTGTATATTTGGGAAAAAGTGTAAACAAATGTGAAGACTTACTGAAGAATGGTGGATTCGTGAAGGTAGCGTCGAAGCAGTTAATCGTGTTATAATTGCCACCCTAACGAAAATAGCGGCGACAGTGATTATGACTGTGAATCAGATGTTTATAATAAATATAATATAATTAGAGTATACGAGAATTCGTAATTTTGGTTTTCTTTTGTACTACTAATTGAATATTCTACTAAATAAATGTACACAATTTCATCACTTACCACCGTATATTAAAAATTGAAAGAATTTAATATCGTACAAATTTAGTAACATTTCATCAATTATCAAACAATTAGTCTACATTTGTCACACTGAGATTGAACGCACTGGCCTCCCGTAAAATTTTACCACCCCTTTATATCTTAGGCACTTCTTGCATCCAGTCAGTTTGCTGGGTCGTAATACTGCTTGATGAGATCATCCGTCCATCTAAGTCCGGTGGGTCGAGCCTCTGCTTCGTACTATGCAATCTCGTGCCTTGGGTCGCCCATTCCATGAATCTTTCGTGGGTCTATCTATCATTCGCACTTTAAGGACTCTGCGCCCAACATTTTTCCGGCCCCCTTGACCCCTACTATATTGAACCATTTAAATCGATACTTTCATAGCGAATTCAAAACAGTCGTATATTCATGGAATATACTGTGTATATGAGAGTGAAGGGGAGGAGAGAGGATCTTCTTCTTTGTCAACCATTTTCCATCCACTCCTGAATGTAGGTCTCTCCCAATTGCTTCCATCTTTCTCTATCTTGCGCCAATCTAATCCACTGTTTGCCTGCCACCGCTCTTATGTCATCTACCCATCTTTTTTGAGGTCTTCCCATGCTTCTTGTTGTCGTCCTTGGTCTCCATTCTAGAATTCTCCGTGTCCACCTGTTGTCATTATATCGGGCTACGTGACCTGCCCAGCGCCATTTGATTTTTGTAATTTCTTCCACAATATCCCTAATCTTCGTTCTACGTCGTATCTCGGTGTTTCTAATCTTGTCTCTTAGTGATATTCCAAGCATGATTCGTTCCATTGCTCTTTGCGTTGTTTCTAATTTTTTGGTAAGTGCTACTGTCTCCAAGCCGTAGGTACAAACAGGTAGTATGCATGTGTTATACACTTTTTTCTTTAAGTTTATAGGAATGGAGGTGTTTTTCAAGATATGTGCTAGTTTGCCGAAAGCGCCCCAAGCCAGTTGTGTTCTTCTTTTAATTTCAGCATCTTGATTTGGTTTTCCTAGTTTGATAACATGACCTAGATATACATAATGTTCCACATTTTCTATGGTATGATTTTGTATTGTTATATTTGTCTGGTCTCGGCTCAGTATTTTTGTTTTGCTGTAATTCATTTTTAAGCCTACCGCTCCTGAAACTGCATTTAATTGTTGTAACATATCATTTAGTTCTTGGATATTATCGGCTATTAAAACTATGTCATCTGCGAATCTCAAATGGTTTAAGTATGATCCGTCGACGTTGATACCCTTATTGTTCCATTCCAGTTTCTTAAAAATATCTTCTAGAGCAAGAGTAAATAGTTTGGGAGAGATGGTGTCTCCTTGTCTTACTCCCCGTTGTAGTCTTATGGGATTAGTTTTTGTGCTTTCGTCCAGTTTTATATGCATTGTGGCATTTTCATATATGTTTTTAATTATGTTAATGTATCTTGAATCTATGCGTGCATTTTCTAGAGATTCAAGCACTGCCCATAATTCGATGGAATCGAATGCTTTGTGGAAATCGACGAACGCCATATGAATTGGAACATTATACTCGGTGCATTTTTCTATCAGTGTTCTTACGGTGTGCAAGTGGTCTATGGTATTAAAATGTTTTCTGAATCCAGCCTGCTCGATAGGTTGATAGAAATCGAGCTTATGTGTTAGGCGGTTGGTTATGATTTTAGTAAGTAATTTATACAGATGTGATAGCAAGGATATTGGTCGGTAATTCTCGATGTTTGCTCTGTTTCCTTTCTTGAATAATAAAATGACCTCGGAGTTGTACCATTCTTGAGGAATCTTTCCTTCATCAATTACTTTATTAAATAAAACATTTAATACCTGTTCCATTTTTCTGCCACCAATTTTCAACATTTCAACTGTAATCTTATCCTCTCCCGGACATTTATTCGTTTTAAGTTGATTTAGGGCCATTCTTATTTCATAGTCGGTTATGTCCGGTATTTCTTCTGAGCCGGTGTTAATTATTGTTCGTTGAGTACGTCGTTGTTGTGGTTGTGTATTTACCGAGTATAGTTTAGTGTAGAATTTTTCAATGGCCTCGCTTATTTCCTTTCTGTCTCTGACGGTGACGTTTTTCTCACTTTTTATTTCTATGATTTTTGTTGTGCCGCTTGAGTTTTTTGCTTTGAGTACTTTCATGTTGCAGTTATCTTGTATTATATTTTTTATTAGATTGTTATTATAGTTTCTATGATCGTTCCTGATTTCTTTCTTCACATTTTTGTTTAAACTTTTGAAGCTGTCCGAAGTTCGATCTGTTCTGTTTCGTCTTTCTTGGAGTAGTTTAATTGTATTAGGTTGGAGTTTAGATGTTTTGGCTGTTTTCGTGTTTGAGCAAATTTTCTTAACCGATGTTGTTACAGTTACTTTTATTTTAGTGGCTAGTCCGTTTATATCCAATTGTTTTAGTGTCTCTATTGATTTTAGTCTTGTGCTTAGTTCTTTTTGGTATTCCGTTTGTTTTTGAGACAGGACATCGGTGGTTGGGTATCGTTCTCGTTTAATAAGTTTGCTTCGTTCTACTCTCGTCTGTATTTTAATGTTCGCTCTAACCAATCTATGGTCACTCCCGGTATAGAATTTGTTTAGTACTGTCACGTCGGTGCATATGTTTTTGTTATTGGAGAGTATGTAGTCTATTTCGTTCTTAGTTTTCTTGTCTGGGCTGATCCATGTCCATTTACGTTGTTTAGATTTTTTAAAGAAAGTGTTGAGACAAAATAAATTTGTCTCAACACTTTCTTTAAAAAATCTAAACAACGTAAATGGACATGGAAATGGAGAGAGGATGGACTACCAAAAAGAGCACTGAATGCAATAATTCAGGGAAAGAGACCTGTTGGAAACCCAAGAAAGCGCTGGGAAGACACAGTAATTAGCGACGCACAAGTCCTTTTAGGAGACCGTGTATGATCAACCACAGACAAGCAAGGGTGGAGGAAAAAATAAAGGAGGCCAAGGCTCAATTTGGGCTGTAGTGTCGTAGAAGAAAAACAAGATACTGTATATGAGTTCTTTATTTTCATCTTATCTCTGGTGACGTTTTGTTCGATGATTAATTGTTACTATAACGGTAAAATACTAGACTGCATTTCATTTCAGTTTAAACTTCCACAAGTGTTCCTGAGGAGCGTTTAATAACTCGAAACACAGTGGAATTAGAATACAGAACAACATATTTCAGAAATGAAATACAATATGTATATATATATATATATATATATATATATATATATATATATATATATATATATATATATATATATATATTTCGACTAATTTGTCTGCTAATTTGTATTTGTACTGTATATTTGCCTTAGCTCTAGTCGTCCTCCTTGATTTGTTCTAAACGATTCCGCCTTCTATCCGTGCACTACTATTATCTATTAATGCAAATATCCGGTATTATCTAAGTAATAATTCATAAAAATTAAAATAAAACACTAATTTTTCATGCCTCGCTGATACGCGACAATAAGATTTTCCATAACAATAACAAACGCGAATTTGTTATTAGGTATAGCTAGATATAACTTAAAAAAATTAATAAAAAATAATATTGTTTCCAGATTGTTAATATAGAATTCAGCGAATATGCCTGAAACGGCTCAAGATTATACATTGGACAGTGTATTGAAGCAAATAGGGGACTTCGGAAAGTACCAGTTGTTCGTGTTTTCCGTAGTAATTTTCGGTGTTGTTCTGCACTCTGCCGTGCACAATGCCTTCGTTTTTACAGCTTTAGACGTTAGTTACAGGTAATTATATAACTTTTTACACTATGCTATTATGTACGTAGATACAATAATTGTACAGCAGGTTGTTGTCATTATTTTTTATCATTATTAATGAAAACGACTAAACTCAACAATATATTAGAGCCAGAATTGTAACCAAATTAAAAGATAACTGGACAGTGGGCACTATCAGAGGCAGCAAACCAATTTAACATAAGCAGAACCACAGTTTTTCTATTAATAAAAAATAAAGGGAACAAAAAACTCTGAAAGAAAGCGAGGGCCTGAAAGACCAAAACTATATTAAATTTAGGTATGTAAAAATAAAATTATTATCTTGTAATACCTCCATTAGCATTGATAATAGCTTGTAGTCTTCGTCCATCTGCGTGAAAGGAACTATGATATTGTCTTCTTCAGAGAACTCTTCCCAAACCTGTTGTATACCGTGCCACAGCTCTTCAGCATTTTGAGGTAAAAAATTACGTCGATACAATTGTTTTATAACAACCCCCCACACAATCTCGATTGAGTTTAAATCTGGACTATAGATGGGCCGTGGTAAGGTTTTGATGTTATTCTAGAAACACTTTTTTATTATATTTGCGGTTTAAACAGGAAAATATCTTGTTGGGAGATAAAATTATTTTCTGAATGCAACTGTTATACGCTGGGAAATATAATGTTTTTTAGAATATTCAGATAAGTCTGCCCATAAAACCTGCCATCAATACGTCATACGATTCTATCAACATATAGAGGATTAAATCTATTATTATCTGGTCTATACACCCCAATGTTGCCCTTTTTAGAAGATTGAAAAATTTTCTTATCTGTAAATTTTACCCTGTCCCAAAAATCTTGATTTTGTAGCTGATGATTTAAAGCAAATATGTTTTGATTTCTTCTGTTGTAGTGTAAGAGCTTGTTTTTTTGCTGCAGTTTGGTACCTAAGACGCGATGCCTTAATTCTGAGTCAAGTTGTTATTTTTCTTCCCGGAAACTGTGACATAATTCTTGCAGTTTTCCATCTTCAAAAGGATTTTCTTCTAATCTCTCCAAAAGCGTATGATCTTTATGAGCGGCAGATATTTTTGGTTTTCCAGAACCTTGCTTTCTTTCGATAGTTTCTTGCCCTCTCCATCTTTTATTAATATTAAACATTGTTGTTCTGCTTACGTTAAAATGATTCGCTAAGGCAGATAGTGACAAACCATCTTCTAATTTCGTTACAATTCTTGCTTTTAGTTCTTTGCTAGAATGTAGAGCCATTTTTTGAGGTTGAACAGAATAAGTTATCTAACAAATTTTAATATTTGGCAGTGGCGGTGGCAGTATGTAAATAATAAGTATTTATCCTTCAAAATACACTGCTCAATTTTCTGCAAAATACGTTTTAAGACTCGTATCAGTTTTTTAGGAACCAGCTGTACTTCAGTTTTTCATCACGTAATTTTTTTGAACGATTTTTAAAAAGTTGAAATCCATTTTAAACTATTTTTTTTAAATATGATGCAATAAAAGCTCTATTTTGGTTATAATTTAAAATGTGTATTTAAATATTAAATGATTTTTTAATAAAAATTCCTACGCCGCTGGGGTGGCTTTAAATAGCTATTTTAAAAACTTCAATAAAACATTTTTATTAATAAGAAATTTATTGTTTGGGAAAGTATGAACGAATTCTTTTCATATTGTTACAGTTAATATTTTTTCTGTTACGGTACTGTAATGTGATCTAATTTAATGCTGCATTCTAACGACCTTTTGAAAATATACTATTTCCTGTTATTTCGTAAAACTTACACTGGCTATCTCATTTATCATGTTTGAAGTCCGCAGAATTTGGCTTTTTCCTTTGTATTTTGTGTCACAAAGATTGAAACAAGTGTAAGGTTTCGTATTACTGTAGCAATTAACTTTAAACTATCGCCATTCAAAATCGTCCGGCAATAGAATTATTTATTGGTACACCCTCTCATACCACCACTTAGAGGGTTCCTTAGCTCTGACCATATTAGCGCACTTTACTTCGTAAGACAGCGATCGACACGGACCTAGTTTTGGACGGTTCTCGTGCTTAGCCTCGGTACCGCGACCAACTCTTCATTCCTGTTAAGAATACCTCAATAGAACCAAAGGGTAAGTCTATGTTCTTTGTACAAACATTGATAATGAGTAAAACCAGTTAATTTCATAATTGATAGTTGCTATTTTTGCTAATTTTATGTACAAACAAATATTGCATTTTTTCTTTATAATTATTTATCCATTATCATTTAACCAGCGACCTCTTAAGTTTAAGCCTAAACCTTTATGACAACTTAAAATTTTAAAACTCAATAAGTTATGAGTCAAAAAAGAAAAACCTGTATCAACTAACTGTTAAACATACATCATTTTATTTTAAACCCTAGTTGGCTTAAGGAAAAATCATCGATTTCATGTAAAAATGTTATACAGATTTTTGAAGGTTTTAAAAAGTATATTATGAGGGATAGTTGATGACAAATCCTTGTAGATGTACAGCTAGCAGATTTTGTTTTGCTTTTTTTAATAATCATAAAAAGTGAAAAAATCATATTTTGCTATAAAACGCTTCTCATGCATTTTACAGAAAAATAGTTCAAGTAAATGTTGTAGATCTTAATAAGTTTTTTAATTTGCTTGTTTCTAACAGATAATTTCTTAAAACCTTTATTTTTGCAGTAATTTATAAATGTCTATAATAACTGTTCAATGTTCAATTAGATTGTAATGCATTATTTTTCGTGAAAATTTGTTCAAATAATTCTTTATCGAAATGGAAAAGTTATATTTTTGTAATAGATAAAAATCTTCTTCTTCTTCTACTTCTTGGAGATCTTTCGATCTGTTTAATTCTGAAGCTGCCTGTGGTTGATTTCCTGGGAGGTAGATTGTCAACTATCCCTCCATGTTTTAGGTGGTCTTCCAGGAGGTCTTGAACCGGGCGGGTTGTTTTTTAGAACAATTTTTGTGAGTCTATTCTCATCCATTCATTTTACATGATTGTACCACATCCTCTTATGCTGTCTTCCCCATCTTACAATATCTTGAATTTTGCACTACTCTCTAAAGTTTGTATTTCTCACCCTGTCTCTTCTTATTTTATCCACTATTGTTCTTAGGGTTTTCGTTTCGCCAACTCTTAGCATCTGTACGCATATACGCATATACTAATTTTACTATCTGTACGCATATACGGATTTGACCAGACTATCTCTCGCAGACATAGTTGGCGGCTTATTTGAAAGAACTGAAAGGGCTGTCTCTGAAGATCATCTTCTGATTCGGCAATAATTGCTGAATCATCTGCGTAACACACCACACCAATTCTTTAGTTGCCCATTCTGTATTCGAGATTGAGAGATGTTATTTTGTTTATAATTTTACCCATGAGTAGGTTAAACAAGAAGGGACTTAAACTGTCGCCTTATCTAATTCCTCCCGGTGTTGGAATATTTTCAGTGAATTGATCTCCTGCTCTAACTTTGGTTACATTGATGTTATTTAGGTTATGGACTATCTTTGTTATATTGGTCGGTGTTCTATTTAATATTAATATTTTTAGAATGTCTCCCAGGCGAACCCTGTCAAACGCCTTTGTTAGACCAATGAAGCAAATATACGCTGGCATGCCGAACTCTATAGCTTTTTCTTTTATTTGTTTGATTATGAATACTGCATCTGTTATAGACTGCCCTCCTGTAAAACCGTGTTGTTCTTCAGCATTATATTAGTGATTTGCCTTTCCAATTTGTCCGTAAGAATATCCGTGAAAAGTTTCATTGTTGTATTTAAGAGGGTTATTCCTCTGTAGTTTTGTGGGCAAGTTTTTTGTTCTTTTTTAAATATGGGGAATGTGATGCTCCTATGCAATTCCTCTGGTGTTACTGTGTCGTTTAAGATTTTATTAAAGAGTTATGACAGTTTAGTTGCAATAAATAAAACTGCTTTTTGTATCAGTAATTTGAAAAAAAATTGAATTGTTTTTTCAATTAGATGGATGCAACTGCATATTAAAACATGGTTTTTAATTCCAAACAAATGATACGACTGGCTTTATGGCACTTGCCTATGCCAATTAAAAAAAGTGGTACAGTAGGTGGTAGTGTAGACTAGCCCAAAGCTTCATACTATCTTACTGTATTTTTAAAATTTAAATAAGATATTTAAAATTGAATAAAGTAGTTTTATTAGTTAAAATTTTTAATAGATTTTAATGAAATTGAAAAAGTAATATACATGTTATATAACGGACACTCCTCGTCACGTAAATAGACTCTTCCAATTGTTTCCAATTTCGTAAAAAGTCATATTTAATATGTGCTGATATAGAAATCTCTTCAAAAGCATAAATCTAAAAGATCAACTTAAAATGTTTTACTAATAACTTCTTTTGTCGTGCTTTAATACAATTTTTGAACAGGTAATTGTAAAAATCTGACATTATATTTATATGAAATTGTTATAAAACAAGAAGTATATAGAATAAAATTAAAGCCCGATCTCATAATGACAACCTAAACTGATGTTCACTAAAGTACACTGTAGTGTTTGTAGTAGATTGGTAATTATATTTCTAACAATTTGGCTTTATTTTTGTCAAAATAACTCTATTTTTCTTGTTGTGTGGTTAATTTGTGTACAAAATTGTTAATTATTGTGTAATTATGTCTGTATCAAAATGAAGTAGTTCTCTAAATTTCACAAAAAGAGGAACTTTTAGTTATTAAGGAAGTATCCAAATATAAATCAGTTAAGTATAGAAAACAAGAAAAGATATTAATGAAAACTGGAAGTTTTAAATAAAGAGAATAATCAGTAAGAAGACAAAGAAGAGAGAAAAAAGCTAGTTGAGAAATTGCTAAACTAATATATTTATGATTAATATTATGTACAATTTTAAAAATGAAAATTACTGAAATATAAGCATCATTATCCTATAAACTTTATTTTGATAAATGTGAAAGTTAGTGTAAAACTTATACATTATAAAT